ACAGGTGCCCGCCACAATGCCTGGCTATTTTTTGGTTGCAGCTGTCATTATTGTTTGGCCTGGGCTGGATTTGAACCTGCCACTTTAGGTGTATGTGGCTGGCATCTTAGCCACTTGAGCCACAGGCGCTGAGCTGGCAACACTGTTCTACAAGAGGACTGGCCTATCTCTATTGATCAATGTTGGCTGCTTAATCACAAGCATCCTCATTATGTCATCCAATTGGTTGCAGTAGACATCTGCTATAACTGATGGACCAGGTTTCATGAAGCTATACGGGATTATACTAGTGCTGGACCACCAAACAGACACCATTAGCTTTCATTGATGAATATTTGGTTTTGCACTGTGTTTCAGTACTTCATCTTTATCTAACCATTGTGTCAAACACTTGAGATTGTCAGGAAGAATCCATTTTTCATCTCTTGTAACAATATGGTGTGAAAATGGTTTGCCTTTATGCCATGACAGCAAAGAAAGGCAAACTTGGAGATTTTTTTCTTCTGACATTCATTTAATTCATGCGAGACCCATCTAGACAGCTTCTTTCCTGGACAACGTGTTTCAAATGGTCTAATATTGTTGAATAGTAAGTCAAACCTTGCTGCTAATTCCAGCATAGGTTGAGATGGATTTGCTTCTACTATAGCTTTCAGATCATCATTATCCACCTTTGTCTCTGGTTGCCCATGTGGCTCATTTTCAAATCCCCAGATTGGAACTTCTGAAACCATCAACATACTGTACATTCATAGGCACATCCTTCCCAAATAATTCATTAATATTTCAAGCTGTCTGCACTGCACTGGTTCCACAATGGAGCTCATATTCAAAAATAAAACAAATTTGTTACTTATCCACAGTTTCACAAAAAATGCTCTAAAAAAACTGAGAAATAATTACAAGGCAAAACACATGTTTGAAAGAATGAGGATGTACCTTCACCGTTAAAAAAAAATGTCAGAGGTATCAACTGTCAAACTTAGAATGTAGTAAGGAAATCAGATATTTCATATTTAACAAACCCTATTGCAGAATGTCTCAAGAGCTACGATGGCAAAAAATAGGTAAGAAGAACAGCCTGCTCAACTCTTTTCCCCTCCCTAGATCTCTTATTTCTTCAACTAGAGAACTCCAATTAGAGTATCTATTTTTGGCTGGGCATGGTGGCTCATGCCTATAATCCCAGTGCTTTGGGAGACCAAGACAAGATGATGATGTGAGGCCAGGAGTCCAAGACCAGCCTAGGCAACATAGTGTGACCCTGTCTCTAAAAAACATAAGCAATGAAAAAAATTAGCCAGGTTGTAATGCTAGGCTCAGGAGGTTGAGGTAGAAGGATCACTTTGAGTCTGGGATTTTGGACTGAGTATAAATTTCCTGAGTCCAGTCCTTTGAGACTGCGTTGAGCTGAGCTGTGATCATGCCACTGCATTCCAGACTAGACAATGTGGTGTGTCTTTAAAAAAAAAGAGTATTTTTTATCTATCTCACATATTAGACTTCAATTTAAACTTCATCTGAAGTAATAGGGAACTATGGAAGGATGTTAAACAGGACAGTGACATGATCATGATATGTTTTACAAAAGTTAAACTGGCAATTGTATAGGTTAGAACCTGAGGTAGGTTAGAAAGCCACTGAAGTTTTTTAGAACCAGGATAGAGCTTCTCATACAGTCCACATACTGTGCATTCATTAGCCATATTCTACCAAAATACTTCAGTGATATTTTGAGCTGTCTGTACTGCATTGGTTCCATGATGGAACTCATACTCAAAAATAACACAAATATTTTACATTGAAGCCAAAGAGATATACAGAAAAGGTCATATTTTAGAACTAATTAGGATTCAATGTCTAACTAAACATGGTGATGTGAAGAGTTGAGCATGATTTTGAATTACTAACTAGCTTAGATAATTAGGTAGATGACAATGCCATTAAAGAAGATGAGAAAACATGGTAAAAATGATTGACAGTAAGGAAGATATTTTGCAATTTCCAGTTAAAAGATAACAGATAAGCACCAAACTGAGAATACCACAGTAGTGTAAACTTGTGGTGTATACTTGTGATATCATCCCAAGATGCTAGGCTCCTGATGCTCAACAAGACTCCATATATCTGTGTGAGTAGAGCCTTACACAACTATCCATAACTCATCTTTGTAAAGCTCTAAGAAATGAGAGGACAGAGTACTTTATTTTTTCAGAAATCAGATCTCAAGCTTAGTGCTTGAGACAGACAATCAGTGAAGGAACATAGACAATCAGTGAAGGAACTTCAAAATGCTATTTCTCTTTATCAGCCAGGCAGAGCCACTCTTTGATCCTCTCCCAAACTACTATGTGAAACAAAGCAATTTACTAAGCACATCACCAGGATAAGCAACACTGGGTAATAGCAAAAGGAACCATAATTAAGGAAGCCGGATGCCAGAACCTGTTTAGTATAGGCATTTAGTTACATTATGGCATAGTATAGTAACTAAAGTTCAAAAGGATAGCCATGCGTTTAATAATGCTTAGTACATGTTAGTTTCTAACTAATGGCTATTAGAAAGTTTTCATTAATATAAATTAAAAAAATTTTTTTAAAGTTTAAAGCTTAACTGAATATAGATAAGCATCACTAATCTAAAAAGTTTAGGATATAATCTGTTCCTAAAAACACTAAATGAAGAATGACATTAAGTCACACTAATTAAAATAAGTAAAAGCCTTACCTCTTCCTGGTTTATATTTGAGATTGAAAGGCTGATTCTGCCAGATATAGGGGGCTAGAATAGATGCAAACTGGGTCATTATTCTCTCAATATACTTCTGAAGAATCTCTTTGTGCTCTTCTGGGTCTCTTGATTCATCTGGTATGAGGAACAGGCGGTACTCCACAGTGTCTTCCACTGTAGCAAGTTTCATAGTTTCCTCCATTCTTCTTTGTAAACTACATTGAAATGTTTCAAGATACAAACCACATAGAACAACAAAGAAGTTAACAGCCACTTCCTGCTCTCTTCTAGGTGACTCTATCAACATGGAGTTTTCAAAAATTGTTATCCACATACCATCATTGTGGTTTTTGCCTTGACTATGTACCACCTATAGTAACATTTAATATTATTCTTCTAATGATATTTTATACTTAAAACTATGTTCTTTATATTTAAAGTTATGTTAAAAGGAAAATTTTGATATAATACAGTGAATAGAAATCCAGTATCAAATTCCCAAATTAACTATGAAAGAATAAAATTTTTAAATGTTTGCTTCTGTACTAAAAGCAGTGTGTAACACATTTTGAGAAACACTACACTAATATCCACTGTTTAAATACTATCAAAAGTCCTACTTCTGGGCTTGGTGCCTGTGGCTCAAGTGGCTAAGGTGCCAGCCACATACACCTGAGGTGGCAGGTTCCAATCCAGCCCTGGCCCACCAAACCAACAATGACGGCTGCAACCAAAAAATAGCTGGGCGCTGGGGTGGGCGCCTGTGGTCCCAGCTACTTGGGAGGCTGAAGCAGAAGACTC